AACTGCTGTGGATTCATTCAAGATGGTGACTGCTGCCAGATACTACCCCCAGCTGCTCAGCATTATGGGTAATACCCTGCGCTTCCTGCCTGCCTTTGTTGCAATGCGCAAGCTGCTGGTGGAAGGATATGTTGGCGAAATGCAGGTGTGTGATGTCCGAGTCTATGGCCCGAGCCTCCTGGATCACTCGTACGGCTGGACATGTGAAGAGCTGATGGGAGGAGGCGGTCTGCACACTGTCGGCTCTGCCATAATTGACCTTTTAAGTTACCTAACCGGTGCACGAGCCCATCGTGTTCATGGCTTACTGCGGACCTTTGTACAACAGAATGGTGTTATCCGAGGCATCCGCCGCGTCACCAGCGATGATTTCTGTTTCTTCCAAATGTTGATGGGTGAAACTGGGTCTAGCTCTGGTGGTGTGTGTTGCACTGTGACACTGAACTTCAACATGCCAGGGTCGTATGTGCATGAGGTTATGGTAGTTGGATCCACTGGGAGACTCGTTGCAAGGGGGACAGAACTGTATGGTCAGCGCAATGGGAGTAAAGGTGAGGAGCTTTTGCTAGGCGACAATGGGTGGGCAGGACCAGAGGTGAAAGAGATGCCCCTGCCTCACCTGCGGGGGCTGAGCTCCATGGTAAAGGCACTGAGACAGTCTTTTCAGGCTCACGAAGAGCGCAGGTCATGGGCGCGAGGACCGGTTGCCATGGCACCGACATTTGAGGATGGTCTGTACGTGCAGACGGTGGTCGAGGCGGTGAAACGGTCCAGCTGTAGTGGAGAATGGGAGTGTGTTGAAATCATGAGTCAGGAGCCAGATCCGAATCACAACCTGTGCGAGGCTCTGCAGAGAAATAAGAACTAAATTATTTATACACCCAGTGCAACTACTACATGTGTCTGACAAAACTTGGCTCTGAATGTTTTCCTTTAACTCAGCTGCAGTTTACATTACCATGACTACTTTTTGCATTTTCACATTTTGAGCAGAATATTTTTATTGAGAAAACGTAACTGTGTTGTGGATGTTTGTGCCCTCACCGTTGTGATTTGTTTGTAAACTTGTCGTCCACAGCTCCATTATTCTGATTCTCAGCAGAAAATATTGTATTAGCTGTGTATTTAGTTTTAAGTGTGTCAAAACCTAACTGTGCCCTACTGACGGGTTTATTTCCTGCACCATGCTAAAAAGTAGACAGAGCCCTTATTCTCACTGAAGCTTGGAGTCATGACGGCACATTTCCAGCTAAATAAGGTTGATACTCGTCACCTGTCAGTGAGGCACCACACCTGTGTCAAATATTGGCCAAAAGCAAATTTACTGGAGTCAAAAAAACAACCTTTCAGTGGATGTCTGACGTTTGCCTGTATCCTCACTTCAAGCAGCTCGTCTGGGTGCATTTCTGTTTTTAAGAAACTGTATTACTGATAATGAAAGATAGAGCCACCAAACGTATACCTTGTCCTTGTGACTGAGGTATGCCAGAACAGTTTTTTAAGTTATGTCATCGGAACCTCAGTAATTAGTTCCGATTTATTAATTTTTTGCAAGTGTTTGGATATTAGGATACACCAATAAATTGATTACTAGACATAAAAAAGTGTAGTTAGTGCACATACTTTCTGTTAACAACCCAGTTTTGAATCATGACCAATTGTTAATAACCACAAGGTTTTTGAAATGTATCTGTAAATTATTATTTGCTTTACAGTTGGGTCCCACACAATTTTTCCAAGCCTTTTAAGTAATTTGTCTCAGATTAAAAACTGTGTTAGTGTACAGTCTAACAGAGAAAACATTTTATTGTACATTTAAATGTTGATGTGTTTTGGTGTTAATTTATTCCCAACACAAGTTGCACCTTATTCTGTGTTTACTTTGGACGTGAATGTGGATGTAGGGATGGTTTGTCAAAACGAGGTGACGGGCAGAATTCAAATGATGCCCCACTGGAGCTCAAACTTTGTAAACTTCAGCATAAGAATAATGGAGCTGTGCAGAGTTTTGTTTTATTTCTTTATTTTTGTAATGTGTAATAATAAGTATACATTTAAAAAAAAGTGGAAACGATTGCAATAGAGGCTTGTAGGTTTTTATGTTATGACATGCCATGACATACGTAAGATACCAGGGATTGAGTTAAATAAGCTATGTAGAAAACACAATAATGAAAAGTCTAATTTGTAGCATTGCCCCTCAAAATGCCCAATACTTAAAGTTATACTCCATCTTAAATCTTTCTTTTCATTTTTCTTGAGTATTACTCGCACTCTAGCATAGAAAAGAGTTCCCTCCTTCACAAACAGCAGCTACAATGAGCTGGAATTTGTGGTGTTTCAGTAGTGACGCGTTTTCATAGTGGAGAAACATATCAAAACTTCTTCTAAAGAAGTCTATACACTTCAAACCATTCCTGCAGCATGTTCTCAGTATGTTCAGTCATCATCTCATCAACAACGACTTAGCTAAATATACTACTTCAAAAGCTTCGAGGAGGACGGTAGCGCAACACAGATGTAGAAATATTTTGGGTAAACGTTGACTGTTTGAACAAACAAAGAACGAGGGTTGAATTGGAAAATGATTTATGATGTGATGTTTTGTACCTGTTTTCTTGTCACCAGCAACTGATGCTCAAAAGACAGATTTTAGGTGGAGTATCACATTAAATCTTTGATCAACAGAAACAGGCTTGTCCTAGAAATTACAGATTAGTGACATTTTAATTGTTAAACTTTCAAAGTTTTAGATACAAAGCCTGAGGGTTTTTTGACAACTAAATGTGTGTAAAAGATTTGTTTACGTGTTAACCATTGTAATGATTGTATATTGTTTTACAAGATTTTGATTCATGCAATGATGCATTCAAAGTTATTACAGATGTTTAAATACACAGAGCGGGGCCACCATCCGAACCACCTTACACCATTCATCCTGAAACCTTACTGATCCTTTCATTGAGTAGAACCACTGGATTTGACATGTGTGAGAGTATAACTGTGCCTCTCGAACGTGCTCGGACCAAGAGAAGGAAGAAGTCCCTCACTGCATCTCAGTACTGCTGAATATCCTTATAATGCTGAGACAGGAGATGTTGCAGCTGTTCCCTTCTTAGACCCACGCAGGATCTGCAGATACGTACACGCTTAGCTCACGCTATCCCACAGTGCTTTACAAAAACAATACACCAAGTTTACATTAAGTGTCTTTATAAAACACATCACATTTTCCTGTAGGATGTTCTATTACCCACCAATAAAATACATTCCAGCCCTAGTTTTCACCTTCTTGTTAACAGTCTTGTTGTTTTTGCACTGATAAAACACCACATATTTAATATGCAGTGTGACACTTGTAACAGCCAGCTTGCTGCGAAAATGAATTTAACATTTGTCTGTGTAAGGAAGACTTTGTATTTATTTATGTCTTGGTGTCATCGGTTTCCAATGTTTCTTCTGTTCAGTGTTTGTGTTTTCAGCCTGTGAATTTCTGTTTAAAGCTGTAATATTTATCTTGTTTAGATTTAGTGTTTTAATTGATAATATGGCTTTTTGAGCACAATGTGTTGCATTCAAGTTGGGAAACTGTACTGTTCATCTGCCTGACAGACCTTTTCTTTTAATAAAAACAGTTGTATTCATTTGGTGTCTTTGGTCAGTTTATTAATTATGTAAAAATAATCTACCTGCTAGTTAAATCTTTTTGTATTGAAAGGAAACAGATGTTCAGTATCAGTTTGATGAGCTATACGCTAAACACTGTAGTAATGATGCTGATGCAATATGTTTCTTCTCTCCCCTTATCTCCATTGAGTCATCAGTTCTCCGTCAAAGCATTATGCTGCGCTCATGTGGGGATTTACAGAATTAGTTTTCTGGAAACAACTTTTTAATGTGTGGAACTTGAATGTGCCTGTTCTCAAAGTGCAGGTTTGGTGGAAACTGTTGTGATGTTATTGACTAAAATTACTGTAGCTTTATGTGAGAACTTTGTACCACACCGGAAGACTCAAAGAGCAAAGCAGCAGAAGTAAATAAGGATTATACACTCAGTTGCTAATTACACCTAGCTAAAATGGGTGGACAAAATAATCGAAACACCTGGTAGCATAATGCAGTACAATTCAGCAGCACCACAAAACCAAGCCAAGCTCTAAAACAACAAAAAACAAACATTACAACCTTTATAGGATTTGTTGCAGGACGGTGGCTTTAGACTGCATTCATTTTAGACAGTTGTACCATATAAACTGGCAACTACCGCAACCTAAATTCAGTTCTAAATAAACTTTGAACAATGGTTCAATACTGGTAATATATTATCTTGATTTATAGCTACATCAGATTACATAATTCCTATAATTTAATAGTAGCATGCCTGATATATTGATGTATGTAAGAGAGTTGAACTATAAATACAGACCACAAATGCTGTAGAAAATGTACACGTGTAAATGTTACGTTCAGAAATACACTTCTGGTGACAGAAATCTGATTTTTTTTTTTTTACAGTGCACCTTTTTTGCTTTTGGTACCATAGACTATATATAAGAAGCTTGCTATATTTGGTCCCATATTTACACAAAAAAAGTCTTCAAACTTTAATTATATCTTGTCCATTTACCATACACTTTGTGGCGTCCGAACAATAATGCTGCGTCAAATGCACAAATATTATACACCACAACTTAAACATTCAAGTTCATAAAAATAATTTCTTTTCAAGCTTTGATCATTCTCAGAGAGTACCATATACACAAAGCCAAATTTAATCACTCTAAACCTGCATTTATAGCCTTTGACACCCCCATCTCTGTTCATGTCTTGTCTGCATTTTTATTAAAGAATCACCTTCTGGTCTTGTCTGTTCCCTTATTAATTATGCACTGGTTTGTACTATGCCACTTTGTATGTAAATTTTGTCATTAAATAATAATAATTTGTATTAAAGAATATTTCTGTCATTCCTGTCCTCCCCGGATATGACGTCGAGCGGCAGCAATGCATTATGGGGCAAAGTGTAGCAAACATAAACACTGATACTAATTGTTTGTTACCAGTTAAGTATAAAGTCGATACTGTTTAAAAAACCGACCAGTGTAAATATTTATAGTCTCTTTAAGTCACTCACCGCTACAGTGCGGAGTGTGAGCAGCGTGAAAAGCCGCAGCAGAGGGCAGACATGGCCGGGAAAAGAAGCGTGGTGTGGGTCTTTTTTAAAACCGTCGACTCAGAGTCGGTCCAGTGTCTGCTCTGCAACAGTTTTCTGGTCAGACATAGCCAGGGCACCACCACGGCCATGCTGAGACATCTGCGAGTCAAACATCCCAACGAGGTCGTGAAGAAGAGCCAGAGGCGTGGAGCTGAAACAGCGTCCATCATCAACGGCCACCAAGACCTGGAGACTGACAGTGAACAGTTCTGCTCGGGTATGGGTACTTTATTTAGTTTAAAGTTAATTTAATTTAGTCTAAGCGTCTTTGAGTATTTAGAAAAGCGCTATAAAAATCAAATGTATTATTATTATTATTGAGTGTATTTGACTAGATAAAAACACGTATAATCAAAGACGTGCGTGTGAAGAAACTGTCAAGAATAGCATTAAAAAAAGTCCTGGACTTATTTCCGTTGTGGTCCTTGATGTTCCACCTGATAACAGCAAGGTGATAACAGGGGTCCGAAGAACAAGGCACATAAAGTTACAAAACATACATTTAAATGGCTGCTTGAACTTGCAGCCATTGTATCTCTTAAAACTGTTCTGATTACACATCTAAAATACATAATTAACTACTATATAGTTCAGTGATATGTGACTATCAGTGACTCCCAACCAACTAATTTGAGAAAATATAATTTAGTTGGTATTTTAAAAAGAATATATCCACATATTAAGGCAGCTGTAACAGCTGAACACCACTGTACCTGTTGCAAATACGTAAGAGTGTGTGCAAACTAGTTAGCCAGCACATAAATGTAATGGATAAATGGTTGAAAATTAATCAACAATTAATCTAACGGATTAGTTGTCAACTATTACAGTAAATTAATCGCAAACTATTTTGAAAATCAAAATCAATCAAAATCAAGTGACAGGGCTGTGGGGGTTCCTTAGACCAAAAAGGTTGGGAACCACTGATTGACATGAAACCTCACACAGTTTTAATACATACTTAATTACTACTTAATAAGTAGGATAAGCCAAGAGCATGATACAAAACAAACAAGTCCCTTATATCGATGTTCTCCATCAGCCTTTCCTTAATCTTAGTTTTAAAGGTGAAGGGGGGTTACTGTTAGTTTAAATTGAAAGTGTAAAAAAAACATAAATTAAACTTCATTTCTAGCCAATTATTTTACAGACCTCTGGGAATACACAGCTTGTTTTATCATCAGACATTTGATTTGCCATACTAATAAAAACAGCAATTAAACAATCCACCTGTCATTTAATCATGCTTGTTATTTACATCTTTGATTTTCCTGTGCGCGATGTCAAAATGTCTTCCATGAAAAAGGCCTATTGACTGAGCTTTGTAAACCCAGCCAGTGTATAAAACGATTTGTGATGATTTGTATCAAAAATGTGAATGAAACGTGTCACAGTTTGTTTTTCTCTGGCAGTCTATTAAAAGTACATAACATTACAATATTATTGCTCTACTACGGAGGACACACTCGGCCTTTTAGTCCGAGTGTCGTCTTTTTCTGTTACATCGGAAATAATAAGAATCCAGTAAAACATCATAATAGTGCTGAAATAATTAGGTGTTAAATCATGTAGTTGATCAGCAGAAAATTAATCACCAACTATTTTGATTGTAGATTAATTAATTAAGTAATTTATCAAGCAAACTTGTGGTGGGCATTTTTTTTTACCATTTTATTACATTATGTACACTGAACAATCAATTTAAAAAAAAAAAAACATTAATCTATAATGCATTGTTGTCTGCAGCCCTAATTTTAACTTTGTTTTCCTCTTATTTAGTGGAAGTGGCACTGGAGGACGGAGACTCAGACTCCTTTACCCCGGGGAACGAAGCTGATATTAATTCTGCTATTAACGGCATCCTGGAAGCTGCAGGTCCAGCAGAACAAATAACACATGAAGAGGCGAGTGATGACCGCCCTGTGACACAAAAACGAACACGGAGCTTGGTTTGGAGGCACTATGAGCGCCTGGATAGTTTGGATGCTGCTCGATGCCGCATTTGCATGAAGAAGTTTAAGTGTTTTGAAGGCAGCAGCACCAGCAACCTGCGTCGGCACATCTCAAAGAGACACCCGCGGGTCTTTTCTCAGCTAGTGGCTGACGGGAAGAAAGCACCACCATCCCGTTCAACACAGGGCTCAAATGCTAATGGTGACACATCGGCACCACCAGAGACTCGTGGCGCGACAGAGAAGAGACAGTTTTCAGGTAATATTTTATGGCTCACTGCTGTTGTAATGAATTCTGACTTTTTCAAAGGCGTCTTGCTGAATGAGTGAAATATATAAAGAAATATCAATATATTGATCAAAGAAGAATTGTCATTTGCAACTCTAATTATTTACAACTTTATTTTCCTCTTATTTAGTGGAAGTGGCACTGGACAACAGAGACTCTGACATCTTTACCATGGGGAATGAAGCTGAAAATAATTCTGCTATTAACGGCATCCTTGAAGCTGCAGGTCCAGCAGAACAAATAACACATGAAGAGGCGAGTGATGACGGCCCTGTGAGACACAGACGAAATAAACAGAGCTTGATTTGGAGGCACTATGAGCGCCTGGACAGTTTGGATGCTGCTCGTTGCCGCATTTGCATGAAGAAGTTACAGTGCTTTCAAAGCGGTAGCACCAGCAACCTGCATCGGCACATGTCAAAGAGACACCCGGAGATGTTTTCTCAGCTAGTGGCCGACGGGCAGAACCCACTACCGGTGACTGTTGGGGCGACAGAGAAGAGACCGTTTTCAGGTAATGTTTTGTAGCTCACTTTTTCAAAAGCTGAATAGTAAAATATATCAACTTTTTTATTTAATAGAAGGAAAATGTTAAATGTTTTTTAACCACAAACCTAAGTAAAATACAGTACTACAGACTATCTGATCAAAGAATAAGTGCATGACAATATGAATCTGACTAGAGATTTGCCAGCTTTCAATACTTGACGCATTAGTCACCCAGCACTGGTTTTATCAAATTAACATTTTGTTAGAAACATCAGCCAAGTTTGGATCACCATGGCTAGAGTTTCACCAAACAATTGGAATAATGTTATATTCCAGCTTTCATGGTCTTCAAGCATGTGCTGTGAAACCCCTACAAATGGTTCAGAACGCAGCAGTGAGTCTGGTTTTTAATCAACCCAAAAGGACTCATGTCACGCCATTACTCAGCAACCTCCACTGGCTACCCATGGCCTCGCGAATCAAATTCAAGTCACTCATGCTTGCATACAGAGTGACTTCTGGGTCTGCACCCATCTACCTATATGCTTGTATTCCATAATACAAGCGTATTACGTTGCTTCTGGCCACTGCACTCCTCCAACGAACACCACCTGGCTCTGCCATACCTTCACACAAAGCAATCTCAGTCCCAGATGTTCTCATCTGTGACACCATGATGGTGGAATGAGCTACTACACGCCATCAGAGTTCTTGAATACTCATCTCTTTCGTGAACACTTTCTCTTAAAACACCTCTAACCTTTAAAATGCACTTCTTGTGCTCTTTTTATTCTATCTCCTTACAATTCTCTTGTATTGGCTGCACTATTTGTTAACTCTCACCTCTCTCTCTAGGCATTTACCGTATTGATGCCGTATGCGCTAATAGCTTTTACTCGTATCTGTTGTCACTTGTAGATCTCTTACTGTATTGATGATTTGTATGTTGTTCCTTAAATGTAAGTTGCTTTGGATAAATGAGTCTGCCAAATGAGTAAATGTAAATATTTTTCTCCATTTAAATGTCTTTATAGTCCAACTGAAAACAAAGCAAATATGAAGGTAAAACATCGTCCAGTTCAAACATTTTTCAAGTAGGTGTGTACTCAACCACTCAAGTAGTTGTCACTTGATTCTTTCCATAATTTTAAGGTATCTCAGCAACCAGAATCTCTAATGCAAATGAATCTGCCACATGTTTGAAGTAAACTAATATAAAGTTTCAAAAAAAGAAACATTTTGTGGTTCTACTGTACGTTGGAAGGAGACCAAACATGTGGCCTTCTCATTCCCCCTTCTTACAGGTGCATTGACAGTTTCAAGGGTGTCTGAAGGAGAGAAGCGTGTGTTAAGGAGAGAGCGGGAGCTGATAGAAGCTCTGAGGAGAGCTCAGAGGGAGGAGGCTCGCGCTCTGGAGCATCAGCGGGAGCTGCTGGAGAAGCTGCAGGCAGCGAATGCCAGGGAGGCAGCTGCAGAGAGGCAGCAAATCGAGTCACTGAGGAAAGCACAGCTGGAGGAAGCCAAAGACTTAAGTAGACAGAAAGAAGAGCTGAAGAAGGAAAAGGCAGAGCTACAGAAGAAACGGGAAGAGCTTCAGCAGGAAAGACAAGAGCTTCTCTTGTTTTCCAGCGGACAGCAAGCCTCTTGATTCTGTTACAACTGGACTGTCATCATGTTGCTATTCACTGATTTCAGGTTTTTTATAAATGCTTTGGAACTAATTCAAATACATGATGTAAAAATGTAAACTCCTCTTTTTAGTAAAATATATTTTACAAAGAATCAATGGTCCATTGATTTTGTTTCTGTTACAATTGTGTTGCTGCTCTGTGGCCTTATCAATGTTCCATCTTCTGCCCAAGCTTGTTGTGATGTCAGCTGCCATCACACTGGCATCAGATAAATAGAAATTTGATCCAGGACAAACCTCTCCATCCGCACCTCATCCTCCTTTCACTCAAAAAATCAATTCTCAGATTGATGTAGAATGCAGAGATTGGCTATAATAATGCCTGTGTTGCTTCTCTCTCATCAAGTCACCAGCAAATAATCAAGCTAGTTGCACGAATTATCATAAGTTTTTGTTCTTCGAAATTTGTAATCAAACTGGAATACTGTGACCAAAAACTGATAAATAGTAATAAATAAATAAGAATAAACTACCATATAGTTATAGAGTGTAAAAATACTTTTTTACACTTGTTGCTGCGTGGGCTTGAAATGATCAGTAAATTTATTAAATTGCAAGCAGGAGAAGTGGGCACAGTGGATCAAAGTGTGACAAATTTTAACTTTTGTTTGGTAATTTGCACAAGTCAAGTCAAATTTAGTTTTAAAAATTTCATTGTTTCAGTTTATATGATCCTTGCACGATCCCTACATTATTTTATGAACTGTGACAGCAAACCCGGGAAGCTATGGTATTATTTTAACACAAGTGCACTGGTTGGCTTCATGGCTTGTGCGTGGATTGAAAGTATGTGAATGGCTTTCCACCAGTAGAATTAAGGTTTTTGTTTGTTTATTGTAATTTTGAGTTAACGCTTTAAAACATGTTCACTTTTACCTAGTGCCTGCCTACTAAATACACAAACATGCAACGCATGTGTTGAAAAAACCCGTGAAAATTTGTTGCCCAAAATGTGACTTCTCAGGTAGTGTTTGTGTGCTGCCCCACCACCAAATAATCGTAACGTGTGAGTATATGTATTTTTTTTTTTGACAGATTATGTTATGGTCATCCTTTGTGGTTACTTTCACCAAATTTTAAGACGAGCAGGCGGCGTGTCGTCTCCGTAGCTCTCCTCATCCTGCGAAGGTGCTGCCTGACAAGCTGAACGCAGGGAGTGTTTGCTGATAGATGACGTGGGCTGCTGAGTCCTTCGTGTCGGTGGCGCAAGATGGCTGACAGCGGAGCAGTGGCGGCGAAGAGATGCGACTCTGGCTCAGTGTCCTCCGTGAGTATGGAGACCATCTCCGCCCTGACGGAGCTGGAGGACCTGGAGAGGGTCTACCAGCAGCTCTGCGTGGAGGAGGTTCGTATAAACGACCGTTAACGGCAGTTTATTTGAGGTGAATGCAATGTCGTCATCCACGTAAACTTCCGGGGACGTCGCTGCTCCATAACACTGCTGAGGGAAAGATTAATCATGGTTAAAACAAACATAACGTAACGTTAATAAAGTTAATGATTTGTCCTTGCAGATTAGGATAGAGGAACGGTTTAACGTTTTCTAGATGATTTGCCAGGGTACAAATCACTTAACAACATCTTACCAAAATACCATGAAATGTTGAATATTTGCCACAGAAAGGGTTGTGGTTGTCGGGATTTTGACTCTAACGTTACAAAGTTTACATTTGTGACTGCTGGTTGGTAGTAAATGGGTCAGATAGTTTGTCCCGTCCACTAAATCTGAGTGAGATCTGATTGCATCATTACAAATGACCATCCTGAAGAAATATGCTCTCACCAAGGATGTCAGGTTTAGATTTAAACTCTCTTTTTTCATAGTTAAATGTTGTGCTGCTTTTAGTAAGGAAACAAATGACAGAACAAACACCTAGAAATGTCACTTTGAAATGTGTGTCCTTTATCTGCACTGACTGATATGAATGATGAACTCTATTTATAGTTCATTAATCACGTGAATACCTGTTTTGAGACTCAATGACTGGCAAGTATAGCTAACTGAGGAGATCATCACACTCTTGGTATCACAAGCTTCAAAGGAAATGACAGTTTACTGTTCATTTGTGCAAAGGAAAATTAATGGTGTGTCCATATGATGTTTTTCTAATCCATTTGTGCCATTAAGCACTTCAACTAAAGTAAGCAATAAATGATTGTTCAGAAATCCTGAAAATCTTACTAGATGGTGCCAATAACATAATGTACTAAGTCCTAGAAAGCCACAATTTACAAAGATGTGGAGTCCTATAATGAGACATTGTTAATCAACTGACCCTACACTTTCTTAAACTACATACATTCCGCATTTTCTAATAATTGACACTCCTTCCCACTACTTATCAGACATCTACATGCATAGATAATTACTAAATGTCTTTCATTTCTTTTACTTATTTATTTATGTTTTGATAGAAAACATGAAGGCAGTTGGACAAAGAAAAACTGACATATTAAAATGTGAAATAGTTACAGTATGTGTGTATTGTGTATAAGAAGCTGAAATCTAAATAAAATCAATAATCTCGTTGCTCATTACGTGTTTTGTTTTGTTCCTGTTATACAGAAAGAAGTGGAAGCTGAGCTGGACAGACTGGTGGGGCAGGAGGGGACCATTCACACAAAGATGCTGGCACTGCAGAGGATGGGGTACAGTTTGTGCAGATTAGTGTGGTTTCAAGGCACCTGATGACCATCATTAATTTGAGCTCTGTTTCTATGCTCTACAGGCCCAACCTACAGTTGATCGGAGGAGACGCCAGTCAGCTGTCGGGCATGATCACATTTACCTGTAGCCTGGCTGAAAACGTCAGCAGCAAAGTCAGACAGCTAGATCTGGCAAAGGTGAATACAAACACTTATTATATCTATCTATCTGCACTTTCAGGGATGTAACGCAGTTAAGCAATTTTAATAACTTTTTTTATTCACAGAAGAGAGTTTATTTGGGGCTCATATAGTAGATGAAAACACACCTCTGCGAAACTGCTGCTGATAGTGTGTGAGAGTTTTTTGATTCAGCTCGTTTACAGGTTGTATTTATTACAGTCACATACACTGATCTCTTCCGAATCAGGTTTTTTGCCATGTAGGTTTTTACGTACATGGAATTTGCCCTGGTGTTTTGGTGCATAACGGTCAAACGAAACATAGTAAGAGGAAAGAAAGAGAAACTGCAAGTCAAGAATCTTACGTAAAATAGAAATTTCCATTAACAAATATACAAAATACGTCTGTTTTATAATGAAAAGAGCTGTACAGTGTTTAAAATGAAACTGAAATATGTTCACAGTGTAAAGAATATGTTTCTGTTTTTGTAGACACGGCTGTATAACGTCATCCAGCGTGCTGACGATATCCTCGATCTGAAGTTCTGCACAGACGGTGTGCAGACAGCTCTACGAAATGAAGATTATGAACAGGCTGCTGCCCACATCCATCGATACCTTTCTCTGGACCAGTCAGTTATTGAGCTCAGCAGGCAGGGAGAAGAAAGTATGTGGCATCTAGATCGCTCTCATAGTGCATCGCTCACTATGCAGAAGTACTGTTATCTTATTAGACTTTTTGTGCTTTTGCACTGCACATTTTTCACTGCGCTGTAGGCAGCAATATAAATCAGCTGCAAAACAGATCAAATTGATGTAAATGGCTTTCACTGTAACACTGGCAATGCATCATGTCTACACAGGTAGTGCTGTGGATACCAGTTTGATAATGCTGCAGGAGGCAGAGCAGAAACTGAAGGTCATCGTTGCTGAGAAGCTGGATGCGGCTGTAGCAGCAATCGACCTCGCACAAGTGGAACGCTTTTTCAAGATCTTCCCTCTGTTGGGCCTCCACCAGCAGGGCCTCGCCCGCTTCGGCCAGTATCTCTGCAGTCAGGTGGGTTGTGTTTGTGGTCCTGCTTGTGTGCTTTCTTGACATTTATATCTGAGTATTTCTGAAAAACTTAATTAACTTTTGGTGGAGAGATAAGCCATTGACTAATGAACAGTTGGTAGCTTCATGGTGTGGATCCAGAGATAAAAAAAAGGAATTCTTTATGTTGTGCATTTTTCAGCATCATAAATTAGTAAAATGTTCCGACTCTGTAAGTACATGTGGCTGTCTCCTTAAAGAAAAAGAGAAGGCCCCGTGAGTTAATCTGATGTTGCATGATTGTCAGAAACACTCATTGGTTGATCATATGAGATCACAAATATAGATCTGATAAGCTTTGTCTTTTTTGGTCAGAATTAGCGACAGATATGTTATGTCTCACACAGCTTGCCTCCAAAGCTGAGGAGAACCTGGTCTTGGCTACAGGAGGAGACCTGGGTGACAAGAGAGCACCACTGGTATTTGCAGAAACTCTGACGCTGCTGCTGGAAGGTGAGAAAACAGGCCTGATACTCCGTTTGTGTTTATGTCACTTTCCTTTGTTTGCATGGAGAGTACTCCACTGATGTGTTGGTGTGTGTTTACAGGTATTGCTCGTGTCGTTGAGACTCATCAGCCTATTGTAGAGACATATTACGGTCCAGGCCATCTGTACACACTCATCACTCACCTGCAGCAGGAGTGTGACCGACAGGCCCAGAAAATAGTCGACAAGTTCATCCAGCAGAGAGGATACCACAACAAGGTATGTACGACATATGAACTGCATAGCATGGTTGTTTTTACTGCATACCTGTACGCACTGTGAACTCGTATCCCCACTGTAGTTTCAGATTGTCCAGAGCAGCATGATGAAGAGCGTGCCAGGGGAGAGGATTGAGCCTAAGTATTTGCGTTTGTCTCAGCAACATCCTGCGCTCCACTCTATGTTTGTGTCTATGGTGGTTTTGGTTTATACCTCCGTCTGCCATGAACAGGGAGCTGGACCCTGTGCTGACAGAAGTAACCCTGATGAACGCAAGGGCAGAGCTCTACCTGCGCTTTTTGCGTCGTCGCATGCTGGCTGACTTTGAAGTCGGGGATGCTCAGAGCGCCACACAGGGTAGTTTTAAATTCACATGTGGTGATGCATACTCAGATGCCTTTTTGAGATGTGGAACTAAACATCTATCTATTCATATAAAATATTAATGAGTTGGGTTTTTATTTT